CAGACTGAGTCACCCAGGTGCCCAAGTAACGGTCACTTTCTTTAGCCAAGGGAGGGAGGCTTTTGTGTTTTGTGGGGGGCACAGAGACCTTGTGTTTGTGCTTGGATGAAGCTATGAATGGCCTTGCTCTGTCTCCCTTTGTCATGGTCTGAGGGTGGTACTCTGGGAGATTATTCATGCCCTCCAGGAGAAGAGTGAGTGCCGGGCTGGCCTGCCAGGGGCTGGGCCCCTTTTAGTTTTCTTTCTCAATCCCTTATAAACAGTCATAGCATAAATAGATGGGAAAAAATGCCGATACATATATCAGCACAAACACACATATATATTTTAAAGTTTATTTATTTTGAGAGAAAGCATGAATGGGGGAGGGGCAGAGAGGAGCGAGAAAGAGAGAGAATCCTAAGTGGGCTCCACACTATCAGTGAGATTCATGATTCATGAACCACGAGACTGATGATCATGACCTGAGCAGAGGTCAAGAGTTGGATGCTTAACTGACTGAGTCAGGCAGACACTCTCGACCTCTCCTTCCTGAGCCAAAGTCAGCTGCTCAACCAACTGAGCCACCCAGGTGCCCCCAAAGTGTGCATATATATTAAGACTCCCCTTCTTATTAAGATTAATTAACAAACATTCCCCACTCCACTAACTCCTCTTTGCATTCTAACTACCTTTTTTAGCCTTTATATCTACCTCTTTTGGTATATTTTGTCTCATCTGCCCTCATTTGAATATTATTAAGAACTCATGGCTTTTCACTGACTCAGCCTCACCAAATTAACCATGATCATAATAAGCATTATTTGTTGGGATCTCTCCATGGGTGCCCTGTTTGCACTGCTTTTAACATCCCTGAAAATATCCTTGCCCCTCAAGCGGTGGATATTGAAGAATCATGCAACTCAGGAATTCAGCTTCCCTCCAAGAAGTCTTGCTACCTTTGAGTGAAAAAACAGCCACAGATACCCATGTAAGGGGATGACGTATTGCTAGAAAATATATCTGTTGAAGGATAGAGTTCACGTGAAGTATTCTTCTTTACCCATGGTATGATCCCATTTTAAAAATATATATTATTTATTTTTGAGAGAGAGAATGCACGTGTGAGCCAGGGAGAGGCAGAGAGTGAGGGAGACACAGAATCCAACGTAGGCTCCATGTTGTCAGCAGATCTCATCAACTGTGAGACCATGACCTGGGGTGAAGTCGGAAGCTTAACCTACTAAGCCACCTGGCTGTCCCGTGTAATGCTTTCATATGTTAAAGGGAGTAAAGCACAGTCATCACAAGCATGGGGTTTGGTTCAGAAACGCTAGGGTTCAAGTCCTGACTTTAGCACCATTGTGAAAACTTGAGCTAGCCCAAGTTCAGGTGAAAAGCTAAACTTTGTGATTTTTTTTTCCACTTTACTATTTTTTTTAATTATTTAGAGACAAAGAGATTGAACAGGAGAGGGGCAGTAAGAGAGGAAAGAGAGAGAATCCTAAGCAGGCTCCACACTGACAGCACTGAGGCTGAAGAGTGCCTTGAACTCATGAACCCTGAGATCATGACCTGAGCCAAAATCAAGAATTGGACTTAACTGACTGAGCCACCCAAGCATCCTGCTTTTCTGGGAGTCACAAGACTCAGTCCCTTAAGTATCTGACTTCTGCTCAGGATATGATCTCACGGATCGGGCTCTGTGCTGGTGGTGCAGGGTTTGCTTGGGATTCTTGTGCTCTCTCTCTCTCTCTCTGTCCCTCTCTCTGTCCCTCTCCAACTTGTGCTTTCTCTCTCTCAATAAGGAAAGAAACCTTAAAACACAGTAAATAGGAGCCCCAAGAGCTCCCAACTCATAGAGAGTGTTTGAATATTCAGGGAGGAGACACGTAAGGAGCCCTGCCCCTCACACATGCTTGATCAACATTAGCTACTATCAATTCAGAAACACAGAGGTGCCGACCTCAAGTAATTCCCCCTACATTTCTTCCCATTTTATCTTTTGTGTTTGGTTTCATTGCTTTTATAACTTCTCAGATAGCAGTCTCCTGGTCTGATAACCCTCTCCTTGTGCCCCTGAAGGACAGCAGGACTCTGACCTGGGTTGGCAGTGAGCTGCACTGAGGAGGGTACCCTTCCCTAAGGAGCAGCCAACAGAGGCAAGGAGACAGACAGACAGCTCAGGTTACGTCCCTGTTGGCATGGGTGGCCTTCCCAGAGGGAACCACCTGAGACCTGGCCCCTTGCCACTCCCCATGGCCACAGCTGGCTCACATTCGACCCCACAATTTGTTCTGTCTTTCCCAAGGCTGAAGTAACACTCCTTCCAACTGGAACGCAGACGCAGGCTGTTGGGAAAACGCTGAGATCCCACTGCTGACACCATGATCCAAGGAGTGCCAGGTATCAACTCCAGAGGATTCCTGGGATTGGCAGAGGGCCTCCAGCTGAGTTAACCTACAGATAATCAGACCCTCGAAGGGGACTGATGAGTGTCCTCGAGCCTTCAAGGGGGACAAAGGGGAGTGCCCCACCCCAGGGGTCTGTAGGGGCCCCTCCCTCCTGACCTCTTGTCAGGCTCATGGCTGAGATGCTCACTTCCTCCCTCCCCCTGCCACCTATCAAATGACCCAGAAGTGAGGCCAGGACAGCCCACAGGGAAGTGGGGGCAGCAGAGGGGAAAGGAGATGAGGAAGGGGTCCTAAGGCAAGGCCTTGGTGGGAGGAAGACCAGTTGCCTTGGAGGATTCTCCCACCTTCTTGCCCTGTCCAAAGTCCTACATGGCTCAGGACGACTGTGCAGGTTTACCAACAGAGGACATGCCCTTTAGCTCTCTCCCTGTGGCCTATGGGCCACTGAACTAGACCCCAGCATGGCTGTGGCCACCTCGACCTATAAGCTGGGTGACTGGCTACTCTCACATGTAAATTAGAATATTCCCTTATGTTGTTGTGAGGATCAAATATCACATGTGTGTGTTGTTTGCGCCGGAGCCTGCTACACACTATGCCTTCCCGAGGTTTCTTTGCTGTCCCCTCTACATGGACCCTGTTAGCTCCAGGGAGAATCCTCCCTCCTCCAGCAGCCCCCGGCCAGCATGGCTATGTTATGTCACCTGCCTGTATCTCCATAGTAAGCACCTGCTTATCAGGTATAAAAGCTGCTCAAGGCCTGAGTCCATGCATCTCAATACTGCCCCACCTAGGCCTGCTCTCAATAAATACACAGAGTGTGTGGGTTCCCTCCAGCAAAACCCAGTTTCATTCCTCCCTTAGTGAAGCAGGAAAAAGAAAAAACAAAACAACCTTTTACTTTTTATTTTCTACTTAGGGAGCACAAGCTTTATCCAGGACACCATTGAGTATTTCAGGGACTCCGTGAGGCGGGATATATTGCATCTCCTGTTGAATGACCAGAAAGCCTGGGAGTACTTCATGGCTAAGGCCAAGTTGCCCTGGTAAGCCCTGCGGATGCCCCAGGGAGGTCCCCCAGATCTCTGCGTGGCAGTGTCCTGGGGCTGGGGTTGAGTATGCTTTTTCTCCACAATATTTGACAAACATGTCTTCCATGACATCCGCTGGCAGGGAGTGGCCTCGGCTTGAGAAGAGATGACACCTGCAGAGGGCAGGTGATGTGACCTTGGGCCTTGATCTAAAGCACACCTATCTCTGCCTTGGTTTCTTCATCTATTCCATTTTATTGGGAAGAAACTAAGATCATGTATGTAAAGTGCTTAGCATTGTGACTGACACATACTAGGTGCTCAATTATTGTTAACTTTTTATTTTTTTAAGTGTATTTATTTTGAGAGAGAGACAGAGACAGCATGACGCTGATCAAGAGTTGGACCCTCAACTGACTGTGCCACCCAGGTGCCTCTATATAACTTTTTAGAAGATTGCCACAAAGAGACAGGGGCCAAGGGTCTTCTTCCTGGAAATGAGGGACAAGTCAGAAGGCTGATGTACCAGTCTGTGCCCCTGGGCATTGGACTGGAGCTTTCCCTCCACATCTAAGTTGTAGGAATACTGCAGGATACTTGCTGGCCCACAAGGTGGAGAGACAATAGTGGAGTTGGACCAAGCTGGGTTGGTTCCAGACCCTATCTCTGTCCAGCCCTGAGTCTCTGGGTGTGTATATCTCCAAGTCTCAGATTAGCCATTTGTTCAATGGAAACAGTAATTCAGCCTGATAAGATTGTGGCAAAAGACTTAGCATGAATTGTAAGTTCAAAGGTGAGGACCCAAGGGCAATCATCTCTTCCAAAGGCCCAAGAGGCTTGGGCCAGGGCCAGAGCTGGGGACAGGATGGGCAAGAGGAGGGCTAGGTTGGGGGACTAGGTTAGCTTGGAAGCGGGGCTAGGACAGAGTGAAGGCCTTACCACAAAACTCGAGGTCTTGGGAGAGAGAGAGGGGATATTTGTTCTCTCCCTTCTTTAATATCCTCACCACCAGGCATGCAGGCCTATGGAGGGGAGGAGGCGTTGTGTCCTCCATACCTTGCCTGGGAGCTGGGTGGTCTTGGCCACCACCTGGAAACCTTTCCTTGTCTTATACATATTTTTAAATGGTGTTTATTTTTGAGAGACAGACACACAGAGCATGAATGTGGGAGGGGTAGAGAGAGGGGGAGACACAAAATGTGAACCAGGCCCCAGGCTCTGAGCTGTCACCACAGAGCCAGATGTGGGGTTCAATCTCACCAAGCATGAGATCGTGCCCTAGCCAAAGTTGGAAGCTTAGCCGACTCAGCCACCCAGGCGTCCCTGCCCTCTTCTACATAGAGCAGCCCCAGACCAGTGGGAGGCAGTGTGGCTCTGTGAGAAGTCCTGGCAACACAGGGGGTAGCTGCCAATTCTCTATTCTTCGAGGGATCCTGGGGAGATGCACGAGTCCCCACCAAAGAGGAAAGTAGTTCGTCCAGCAGCTTGTCCAAATGCAGGTCTTTTCAGGCTTCAGGATTCCTGTAGATGGCTCTCAAAGTCTCTTGTCTCTTTAGGCAATTTCCTACAAGTGACAATGGCATTGGTGTGCACGCATATGAAGCTGTCATCAGCTAAGATGTCACTTAGGCTGGTGACACCTGAGAGGCTGGGGGTGCTGGTGCTGGATCAGGAGTGAGTGATGTGAACTGGACAGTCTGGGGGGAACCAGGGTAGCAGATGTCCTGGTTCTCCGTCCATTGGGGAAGTGGCTGGGCCACATTAGAGGACATCAGACCTGGGGGAGAGAGGAAGTGCAAAATAATCACTAAGGTCCCTTCTCATGTTTTTAAATATGAAGTACTCAGAGTTAGCCAAGCTGTAAAGTCTGAGCGCACAATCCCTACAACGGCCCTGACTTTTGGCACCTACTACAAATTGGTGGGTGATCCTCAAACCACCCTGAGATTGGGTGATGTCCTGAAAAGACACCCAGAGCTCACTGAGAGCAGTCACACTCAGTCCCACTGTCTTCCAGGGAAGGATGCAGGTGGCCATCAACCAAGAAGAGAGACACATGGGACAGAATCTGGGAGGATTTCTAATGCAAAGCAGTCGTCCATTGGATGCATTACTGTCCTGTATGCAGTCTGTGACAGTGCACGTGGAACATTGCCCACCAGGGAAGCTCACACTGGGAAAGAAAATGACTCTGAGGTTTATTAAAATGGTAAAGAAGACTTAATTCAGAGCTATGGTCATAGGAGACAGATCAGGCTGTACTCTGGATATGGTGAAGACAGCTGGAGAATTACACCAAATAGTGGGACGTGGGCAGGTGAAGGGTAAGCACAAAGAGAAGAGGTGGAGGATTCTTGCTAAATGGACCCAACAGGGTTGATGCTGAAGGCAGGTCAAGAACTTCCAAATCAGGGGCACCTGGGAGGTTCAGTCAGTTAAGCGTCCACCTTGATTTCAGCTCAGGTCCTGATCTCCTGGTTGGTGAGATGAGTCCTGTGTTGGGCTCTGCACTGACAGCAAGGAGCCTTTTTGGGATTATCTCTCTCTTCCGCTCTTTGTTCCTCTCTGTCCCCTGCTTCCTGCTTTTGCTCTCTCCCTCTCTCTCAAAATAAAGAAATAAACCTAAAAAAAAAATAAAAAAAAGAACTTCTACCTCAAAGGTGGGATTTGATCAGATATCAATGGTGATCAGATATGAAGAGTGGGAAGACTCTCATTAAACTAACCTAACAGGGTTCATGCTAAGTCTGGGCACTACACGCTGTCATGGACAGAACACAGAAAGCCAAGGTCGACAAGGTACACATGGACTGCACCTGGTCAGAAAGAGGGTCTAGCAGAGCCTGACTAAAGTTTGGTCAAGAAAAGAGTCTTTTTCAACCCCAGCCTTGGTGTATAGAGTTTTATTGGGACCCAGTGACATGTTCTGCATGGCTGACCGGTGTGTGGTCTCCAGCCCCTCCTTGAGGTCACACTCATGCCTTTAGTTTCTAGTCCCTCCGTAGGTCAGAACCGATAGCACATGACCCAAAGACCCCATCATACATCGTGTTGTCAGGTGATGTCAGGCCAAAGGCCCAGGCAAAGGAAGACAATCCTATGATTCTCCGACCCTTCCCATTGTAGGCAGGGGCCTAGAGATCACTTCCCAGGAGCCAAGGGCAAAGGGCAGACCTCTCTGTGGGTAAGGTTGATCCTTCCCTACACACTAAGATTCTTGGAAGGAAGGTTTTTCTGCTCTAGCCCCACTTCCCTTTGTTCATCTACAAACACTGTGGTACCCATAGTGTTGAGCTGCCCTTGAGTGAGAAGCCCTCTTTATTGAATACGTACCACTTGGGGCACCAGGGCGGCTCAGTCAGGTAAGCATCTGACTCTTGATTTAGGCTCAGGTCATGATCTCAACAGCACAGAGCCTTCTTTTGATTCTTCCTCTCCCTCTCTTTCTGCTTCTCCTACTCCCTTGCTCCCCAAAATAAATACATAAAGACACTTCAACCAAACTGCTGCCACTTAAGGGCATCTTATGATGACTACTTATTTATTCCCTGACAGAATATGGATCACAGAGCACGATCAAGGTACAGAATGTGCATAACATTGCAAGAAACAGTCTTTGCCTCTGTCCAATTCTTGTCCATTTGATTTATAGTGAAAGTCGTGTGGTTCATGTAGGAGAGAACAGTTCAAACCCATGTGACAGATAAGCTTTCCTTAATCACTTGACCTTCACTGTTGCAGGGAGGAGGCAGAGGTGCTCTATGAATGTCTGAGAAAGCTAGAAGAAGGCCTGTATATGGAGGACATGAACAGGCTCTGGAGTGACCCCCTGGAGAGGGAGCGCTTTTTGAATGAGTTTCTCTGCTTGAAAGAGGAGCTTGAGGGGCAAATACGAAAGCTCCGTGAGCTTGTGGACAAGGCTGACAAGGTACACAGGAACTGCACCGTCACCAACATCGTGGCCCGCTCCATTGGAGCCATGTCCAGTGTCATGACAGTGCTGGGCCTGGGTCTGGCCCCTGTGACAGCAGGGATCAGTCTGCCACTCTGGATAACTGGGATGGCGCTGAGAGCAGTATCCGCTGTCACCAGAGTGTCCAGCAACATTGTGGAGCACAAAAAAACATCGTCCCTGAGAGCCAAAGCCAGTCACCTGACATCAACTGGCAGTGACAACAGGGAGGTAGTTGCAAAGTGTTTGTATGAGAATACACCCTGCAGTAATTCCTTAAAACACTGGGCTAAAGTCCTGAAAAACATTGGAAAGAATGTTCATGCCATCTGGCTGGCCAAAGCCAATCGTCGCTTAGCAGCCCCTGCCAAGCGCCTCATGACAACTGGGAGAGTTTCAGCTTGGAGTGGCAAGAAGGTGCAGAAAGCTTTTCGACTCGTTGCTGTGGCACTGGCCACTGAAGGCGAGTGGAAGGGTGTGGCTCTCTTGCTTGTGATGGAAGTGGCCAACCTTCTCAAAGAATTAAAGCACTTGTATGAGGGGGCAACAGCAAAGCCAGCTGAAGAGCTGAGACAGCATGCCCAGTTGTTGGAGAGCAAGTTGGAGGAGCTCACCCAGATTCACGAACATCTGATTAGGTCCTGACCCGTGACTTCCGAGCAGAGCAGGGAGCAGGGCCAGGTGTGAGTATTTCAGATTCGTGTGGTTCTCCCAGTCTTGTGGTCTATAAGCTGCTTCAGTAAATGTGGGCTGGCCCAGCGGGCCTCTGTTGCGTTCACATATATAGGCCCCTCAAATCACGAAGCCATGGCCTGAGCCTAAGTTGGATCCTCAACCAACTGAGCCACCCAGGTGCCCCTGGTAGGACGTTTCTATGTGGCTCAAGACGTGGATCTGAAAGGCAAGCTTCCCCCATCTGCCATTCATTCATTTGTTCATTCGTTCGTTCGTTCGTTCGTTCATTCATTCATTCACTCATTCCATCAGTCATTGGTGAATACTCACTGATACCCTCCCCTTCTGTGTGCCTGGCACTTGCAAGGTTCAGGGGACATAGAGATCAGACAAGGTCCTATCCTCTCTGGAGCTCAGAAACCAATGGGGCACTCACGTGTGCACAGTGCAGGAGGGGGAGGGGGCTCCCAGCCATGGCCTCTCCCTGTTCATTCCGTCCCTGCCCCTCCCTCACCCTTGTGCTCCAGCAACCCTGAAACGCTGATAGCTTCCTCCACATCCCCCGGGAGACTCCTGCTCTGTCCCTCTGCTTGTACCCAGGCGTCTGCCATCTTGCACGCCTGGCCCTTCCATCACCTGGCCGCCTCCTGCTTATCCTTCAGGACTCCCTCAGCTCCTCAGAAGGAGCACCCTACCCCCTCGGTGGGATTCTGACGCTCCTCCTCTGGGCTCCCAGGGGCCCATGGACTTCCTCTGGCAGAACCTTGACACAGCATATTCTCACTAGCTGTTCCATGCGTTCCCCCTCCTGCTGCAGGGACCTGGGCCACTCTCTGAACCCCCGGCTGCTGGAGATGTGGCCGTGAGTGCTGTCATTCCCAAATGGAGTGTGTGTAGCAGAAAAGAGGGTTGGCTCTGCTCGTTTTTTATCAATAGAATTGAGGTAAAATTTTACATATGACCATCTACATCTAATTCAAGTGCACAATTCAAGAATTAAAAAGAGAACTACCAATGACCCAGCAATAGCACTCCTAGGAATTCACCCAAGGGATACAGGAGTGCTGATGCATAGGGGCACATGCACCTCAATGTTCATAGCAGTGCTTTCAACAACAGCCAAAGGATGGAAAGAGCCCACATGTCCATCATCTTAAGAATGGATAAAGAAGATGTGGTTTATATATACCACAGAATACTACTTGGCAATGAGAAAGAATGAAATCCTGCCATTTACAGCAACATGCATGGAACTGGGGGATATTATGCTGAGTGAAATAAGTAAAGTCCGAAAGACAGATATCATATGTTTTCACTCATATGTGAAACTTGAGAAACTTAACAGAAGGCCATGGGGGAAGGGAAGGGGGGAAAAAAGTTTCAGAGAGGGAGCGAGGCAAACCAGAAGAGTTCTTCAATACAGAGAACAAACTAAGGGTGGGGGAGTGGGGAACAGGGGAAAATGGGTGATGGACATTGAGGAGGAAACTTGTTGGGATGAACACTGGGTATTGTATATAAGTTGTGAATCATGGGAAGCTACCCCCCAATCCAAGAACACACTGTATATGCTGTATGTTAGCTACTCTGACAATAAATTATCTTAAATAAATACATAAATAAGTAAATTTTAAATGATGTTTGAATGAAAAAATAAAATAAAGTGTATTATTCATAAAATTATAAAAAACAATTTTAACCAGATGAAACTTTAAACACAACCAAGGGGCACCTGGGTGGGTCAGTCGGTTGAGCGTCTGACATCGGTTCAGTTCACGATCTCAGTTTGTGAGTTCATGCCCCGCATGTGGCTCTGTGCTTATTGCTCAGAGCCTGGATCCTGCTTCGGATTCTGTGTCTCCCTCTCTTTCTCCCCTTCTCTGCTCGTGCTCTGTCTCTCAAAAATAAATAAAAATGTTTTAAAAAAAGTTTCTTAATCACAATCTAGATTTGAAACACATGTATGATCCCAAAAGATTCCTATTTCCAGTCCATTTCCCTCCCAGCCCCAGGCAAACCCTGACTGTCATTTTGTCACTATGGTGACATATATATCTTCCATGTACAGCATGTAAATACTATATAGAGAGAGAATTTCCCAGAATTGTATATAAATAGAATTATATAGTGCTTCCTGGAATTGTCTATGAATGCAATAACATAGTCTATATTTGGACATACTCTTTTTCCCAGCATCATGCTTTTGAGATTCATTCACATTGTGTATATCGGTAGTTCATGTTTTAAAATTGATGAGTGACATGTATGGGTATACCACATTTTGTTTACCCTGTTGACAGACATTTCTTTTTCTTTCTTTTCTTTTCTTTTAATAATTTATTTGTTTTTTAATTGACATCCAAGTTCGTTAGCATATAGTGCAACAATGATTTCTGGAGTAGATTCCTTAATGCCCCTCACCCTTTTAGCCCATCCCCCCTCCCATAACTCCTCTAGCACCTCTGTTTCGTCTCTTTATATAAGAGTCTCTTATGTTTTATCTCCTTCCCTGTTTTTATACTATGTTTGCTTCCTTTCCCTTATGTTCATCTGTTTCGTAGCTTACAGTCCTCCTATGAGTGAAGTCATACGATATTTGTCTTTCTCTGACTACTTTTGCTTAGCATAATACCCTCCGTTCCATCTATGTAGTTGCAAATGGCAAGATTCCATTCTTTTGGATTGCTGAGCAGTACTCCATTGTATTTATATAGCACATCTTCTATATCTATTCATTGTCAATGGACATTTGGGCTCTTTCCATACTTTGGCTACTGTTGACAGTGCTGCTGTAAACATCGGGGTGCATGTGCCCCTTCAAAACAGCACACCTGCATCCCTTGGATAAATAGCTATAGTGCAATTGCTGGGTCATAAGGTACTTCTAGTTTTAATTTTGGGGGGAACTTCCATACTGTTTTCCAGAATTTGCATTCCCAAAAGGTTTTCTTTTTAGGTAATCTCTACACCCAGCCTGGGGCTCGAACTCATGACCCTCAGGTCAAGAGTCACACGCTCCACAGACTGAGCCAGCCAGGCACCCCCGGGGTTGTATCTTATATGAAAAAGAGTTAACATCATGGTAGCTCAGAGCTTCTTGCAGACACTAACCCAGCCCCGACCTGCACAGAAGGGGTCAACAGGGAGCTGTTCAGGACTAGGGTGACCTGCACCTCACAGTGGTTTTACCTGGTCATCAAGCCAAAGTCAGGCTAGGAAAAGAGAAAAGAACGAGGAGGAAGGGGAGTTAGAGAAAAAAGACCAAAAGATCACTGAACAAGCAGAATTGGGCAGAAAATAACTTGAAACATGTGTCAAGGGTCGAAATTCCAGACTGGACTGGACTTTGCCCCTCCTCCCCCACACATTGGTGGAGTGGCAGGCAGTCGTCGGGTTTAGACTCCTCCCCCAGGTGCCCTGGGAGCACTGCAGGGAACAGTGGACTCTGCCTGCATGGAGGCTGGAAGGCTTCTGCCTAAGTGGGGGCTGGAGGGCTTCTCAGAGGAGGTGATGCAAGATTTGGGCTTGGAAGGCTAAGCATGATTTTTTCAGGGGGTAGAAGCAGGTGCCCCTGGGGGAAGGATCTGCCTATGCAAATGCCTATGGGCCACACGGCCGAGATGTATAAATAGCTGCAACAGGGCAAATACACAGTGAGCATCTGGTATGTTTGGCGATGCAGATAATCCTGGAGATAGGAAGGTGGGTAATGCCCGAAGTGAGGTGGGAGGGAGAGAGAGGAGGGGGCTGGGAACAAGTCCAAGGCAGGTGGGGGGAGGGTTACATTTGCTGAGAGTCCCTCGGTTCATCAGTGACAGGTTTTCCTTCCAGAAGTCCAAGGCGGGAAGCGCTGAGCCCACAAGGATCAAACATCTGGGGTTTCCTCCTTGAGGGGGTAGAACGGGCCCTGTGGTATGTTCCTTGCATCCTGAGTGGCTCTGAAGTGGAAACTTTCGGTTTCCCTTTCAGTCTCAGATATATTTGGGCCTGGAGGCGTGTGGTCATTGCACAGACACACCGCGGGTGACTGGGTCTACACAGCTAAAGAAACCTGGGTGTTTTTCAGCTCAGAGGACGATCCCTTGGTAAGCTTGGAGGGTGGGAGCCCCTGCCCATCTACTGGCCCTCCAGACGGCTCTTTAAGGAAAAGGATCAGAGTTGGGATTTCTAGCCCCAGGTCATGCCCTAAATAGCAGCATAGCCAGGATTTGAACCCGGGTTTGTCTGGCTGCTCCCCCCTCACACCCCTATGCCCCCAAACAGTGGAGAGGGCAGGGCACACTGCTGAGCCCAGGTTCCAGACTGCTGCGACCTGAGCAGACCCCAGAAGGAAGGCAGGTGTGGGGGAGGGGGTCAGGGGTGCTGATCCCTTTGGGGAATTTGGAGGAAGCAGGGGAGGGGAAGGAGGCCAGGTGAGTGGGAGCCTCTCCCTGGGGTGGCCTGACCCGCAAAGCATTTCTTCTGAGATGCACAGGATGAAGGACTCAAGGCTGTGTCCCCACAGTGTTCTGAGCACCTGCTCAGTGCCGGGCCCTGCGGGGAAACCGAGGGTCTGGAAGGGGGGGCTTGTCCAGGGTGCTTTGACCGGGGACAGAGCGGGACGTCCGGGCTGCCCCCGCTGCCCCCGCCCGGCCCTCTGTTCCCCACACCGTGGGACCCGTCCCGCCTTGTGCTCTTAAAGCCCCAAGTGTGGACTCCTGGGGATGCCTGTGGGGGCGGGACCTCACACCTGCGTGTTCACACGGGCCCAGTCAGACCTGGAATGTGGTTGTTAAAATCACATTTCTCCCCAAACACCTCATGCTCCCTTGCACCCTGCCCGCCGGGAACCGTGTGACCCCAGGCGGGTCCCTTCACCTGGGACTCTTCCTTCGCATCTCCTAGAAAATTGGCTTCCGTGTGTTCAGGCTGATTTGGAGGCTCTCTCGCGAATCTGGCCGGCCCTGCTCTCCTCTGCTCTGAGCGCCGGCCTGTGCAATTTTTCATGTTTTAGACGTTTCTTTATTTACTTTGAGAGAGAGACAGAGAGTGTGTGCCGAGCAGGGGAGGGACAGAGGGAGGGAGGGAGAGAGAATCCTAAGCAGGTTCCTTGCTGTCCGCGCAGAGCCCCATGCGGGGCTCGATCCCATGAGCAGCAGGATCGTGCCGGAGCCGACACCAAGGGTGGGACACTTAACACACTGAGCCAGCCNGAGCTGGGCTGCACCCACACCCGCCCTGGCCTCCCTGGGGGAGGGGAGGCTGCGGAACGCGGAAGGCACTGCGGAGTCTCAGGCACCGGAACACCTGGTTCTTCTGCAATTTCCTCTTTCTCTTCCTCCTCATCTAAAGATACTCTGGCTGCAGTGCAGACACATGAAGGAATGAGTGGAATCGCTCAGAAATCTCATCGGACCGTCAGAAGCACACACTCAATCAGGAGCGGCATTTGCGTGAAAGCGGAGCCAGGGCCAGAGAGAGCTTTGCGTCGAGATAGGCAAGGAAGCAGTGGGATTACTCAGCGGTGAAGGAAGCGGGGCCGTGTCTCGGCTCCTACCGCCCGGATCTTAGGCTGGCCGTGCCCCCCGAGGGCGGGGGGGGGGGGCGCCTGGGGACACGGCACAGAACAGGGGGTGCGGCAGGGAACAGACGGGGCCCCAGCCGGGGCTCGGAGTCAAAGGGAGGACACAGAAGGCTGGAGAAAATACAGAGAAGCAGGGACAGGACAGAGCACATCCAAGGAGAGCCTGGGCAGTAATCGGGAGGAGGGGCTAGGGGTGGGGGGGCAGCAGGGGAGCGAGACTTTGACCTGGGCATCTAAGTATCGATAACCTATTACAAGCTAGGGAAGGTGGGGACGGGCTTTCCACGGGGAGGAGGCAGGCTGAGCACAGGTGTGGAGGCTGAGGCGTGAGCAGAAGCAAGGGCTGGACCTGCTTGGTCAGTAGAACAAGCCAACTCTTGATCTCAGGGTTGTGAGTTCAAGCTCCGTGTAGGGCATGGAGCCTACTTAAAATAACAATTTAAAAAGAAAAAAAAAGGCAAGGAAGCTGGGGGTCCGTGGGGAGCCTGACCAAGGCAAGAGGGGCAGGGAGCGGTGAGGAAGACAGGAGCAGGCGCGTGTGGGGGGTGGGGCGCCGGGCTAAGGAGTATGAATCTGAAGCTTTACCCTCCCCTTTCCCTGTCCACGGAGGATTCCCTGTAGCCACTTGCAAGGACATGCTTTGGTGAGAATCTCTGTCGCCCTGCACCTGGGGAGCTGGGACAGAGCAGGCGGGGATGGGCAGGCCTCCAGCCTGGGCCCCAGCTTCACGCAGGGGCAGGTTCTCCCTTCTCCTCCGAGCGCCCTTGCCGGGGACTGACCAGTCAGCAGGCTAGCGAGAGCCCCTCGTCCTGACCGAGGGAGGGAGCGGTGTCCAGGATCAAAACCCTGCAGACACACCCAAGACCAGGGTCAAGGCCAGGCCAAGAACAGCACAGGACAGGATGGAGGAGACCCAGGGTACAGACACATTTGCAAACGGTTGGTGTCATCCAGGGTCTGGCTCTTTCGGCCCCTGCTCTCTGGTCCTCGTGATTCATGACGTCATTGGGCTGCCTGGGCTCCCAGGGTCATGCAGCACTCAGAACACAAGAAGGAGAAGGCGGCCAGCCGGTGCTCCCCTCCTACCTCTCCCCTGCAGCGGCAGGAAGGCCCCAAGCCTCCCCTAAGTCGACTTCCCCTGTGTCTCGTTTGGCTGAGGCTGGGCCCGACATCGGCCCTCACTGCAGGTGCGCCTGGAAAACACACACCTGATGCCCAGGCCCCAAGATGGGAGGCAGCAGGATGGAAGGGATGCCAATGGCCTTGGAAGAGGTGGAGCGGCGTGGGAGCTGCTGGGCAGGAAAGCAGCAAAGGCCACGAGAATTACTTTGCTGTAAACAGCAAAGTTGAGAGCAAAGATCAATAGCTGGGAATGGACCAGGGTCAGGAAATGACCAGAGCCACAGGGGTGTGGAAAGAGCGAGAAACCTGCAGGGAGCCGTCCGCACCCTTGCTGGGCCTGCCTCGACCCCTGACAGCTGCCTGGCTTTATGCTTTGCTCGCACTCGATAGAACCCGTGTGTATCTGCCAGGAGGATCCACACCCTCACCTTATGCCCTTCAGCCTTAAGCCGCCAGGCACACTCCTGTGGTTGAGGAAGAGGGTGTTAGAACTGATTCTAGGATCTGGGATTTGGTGCTTTGGGGGAGTCTCTGGGGAAGCAGGGCTGCTGTAGATGGGGTGTTGCCGAAAGGGGGGGCATCGCTGTCAGTGGGTGTCTTACAAATCTTATCTAGCAAAGGAGTGGCCAGAGGGCGCCTGCCTGGCTCAGTCCATTAAGCATCTGACTCTTGATCTCGGCTCAGCTCATGATCAATCTCCTGGTTTATGAGATCCAGTCCTGTGTCGGGCTCCATGCTGTCAGCACAGAGTCTGCTTGCGATTCTCTCTCTCCCCCTCACTCGGCTCCTCCCTCATGATCTCTCTCTGTCTCAAAATAAATAAGTAAACTTAAAAAAAGAAAAAAGGAGAGGGGCACCTGGGTGCCTCTGTCGGTTAAGCATCGGACTCTTGATCTTTGTTCAGGTCTTGAGCTCATGGTTTTGTGAGATTGAGCCTTTATTGGGTTCCATGCTGACTGTGCAGAGCCTGCTTACTCTCTCTCTCCCTGCCCCTCCCCCACTCATGCTATCTCTCTCTCTCTCTCTCAAAATGAATAAATGAACAATAAAAAATAAAAGAGAAGCCAGAACAAGGACAAAACTTGCAAAAGAAGTTAGAGTCATTCTTTTTTTTTAATGTTTTTTTTATTTTTGAGACAGAGAGATAGATACAGCATGAGCAGGGGAGGGTCAGAGACAGAGGGAGACACAGAATCTGAAGGAGGACCCAGGTTCGGAGCTGTCAGCACAGAGCCTGACATGGAGCTCAAACTCATGGGCGATGAGATTATGACTTGAGCTGAAGTTGGAGGCTTAACCGACTGAACCACCCAGGTGCCCAAATAGCACTTGTTCTCTTTAGCCAAGGGAGGGAGGCTTTTGTGTTTTGTGGGGGGCACAGAGACCTTGTGTTTGTGCTTGGATGAAGCTATGGGTGGCCTTGCTCTGTCTTCCTTTGTCATGATCTGAGGGTGGAACTCTGGGAGATTATTCATGCCCTCCAGGAGAAGAGTGAGTGCCAGGCAGGCCTGGTTTTCTTTCTCAATCTCTTATAAACAGTCATATAATAAATAGAAGGGGGAAAATGCCCATATATATAAGATTATTTATTTTGAGACAAAGCACGAATAGGGGAGGAGTAGAGAGGAGGCAGAGGGGGAGGGGCAGAGAGGAGGGGAAAAGAGAGAATCCTTTTTTTTTTTTTTTTTTTTTAATTTTTTTTTTTTACAAATAGTTTATTGTCAAATTAGAAAAGAGAGAATCCTAAGCGGGCTCCACACTGTCAGTGTGGAGCCCAGTTTGGGCCTTGAACTCATGAACCATGAGATCGATGATCATGACCTGAGCTGAGGTCAAGAATCAGATGCTTAACTGACTGAGCCAGGTAGGCGTCCCTGGCCTCACCTTCCTGAGCTAAAGTCAGCCGCTCAACCGACTGAGCCATCCTGGTGCCCCCTAACTACCCATATATATTGAGACTCCCCTTCTTATTAAGATTAATTAACAAATGTTCTCCACTCCACTAACTCCTCTTTGCGTCTAACTACCTTTTTCGCCTTTATATCTACCTTTTTTAGTATATTTTGTTCATCTGCCCACATTTGAATATTATTAGGAACTCATGGCTTTACACTGACCCATCCTTGCCCAATTAACCATGATCATAATAATCATTATCTATTATTATTATAAGTATATGTAATTTGTCCGGACTTCCCCAAGGGTGCCCTGTTTGCACTGCTCTGAACATCCCTGAAAGCATCCTGTCCCTAGAGCAGTGGATATTGCAGACGCGTGGAATTCAGGAATTCAGTTTCCCTCCAAGAAGTCTTGCTACCTTTGAGTGAAGAAACATCCACGGGTACCCATGTAAGGGGGCGATGTATTGCTAGAAAATATATCTGTTGAAGGTTCGAGTTCACTCTAATTATTGTTGTTTAACCCATGGTATCATCCCATTTCATTTTATTTTATTTTATTTTATTTTATTTTATTTTATTTTATTTTAATGTTTTACTTATTTCTAGGACAGAGAGAGAGAGAGAGAGACAGCGTGAGCAGGGGAGGGTCAGAGAGAGAGGGAGTCACAGACTGAAACAGGCTCCAGGCTCTGAGCTGGTAGTCAGCACAGAGCCTGACGCGGGGCTCGAACCCACGAACCGCGAGATCATGACCTAAGCGAAAGTCGGACGCTTAACCGACTAAGCCACCCAGGCGCCCCATCCCATTTCATTTTAATGTTTTATTCATTTTTGAGAGAATGAGCAAGAGAGGGAGGGAGAGTGCATACGCATAAGCCAGGGAGGGGCAGAGAGAGAGGGAGACACAGAATCCGAAGTAGGCTCCATGCTGACAGTAGATCTCACCATCTGTGAGATCATGACCTGAAGCGAAGTCAGATGCTTAACCTACTGAGCCACCTGGGTGCCCCATGAGTAATGCTTTTATATGTTAAAGAGAGTAGAGTACAGTCATCACAAGCATCAGAAACACTTGGGTTCAAGTCCTGACATTAGCGCCATTGTGAAAACTTGAGCTAGCCTAAGTTCAGGTGAAAAGCTAAACTTTGTGATGGTTTCTTCCACTTTACTTATTTTTTTAATGTTCATTTAGAGACAGAGAGATTGAACAGGGGAGGGGCAGTAAGAGAGGAAAGAGAGAGAATCCTAAGCAGGCTCCACACTGACAGCAGAGAGGCTCAGGAGGGCCTTGAACTCATGAACCCTGAGATCATGACCTGAGCCAAAAATCAAGAATTGAACTTAACTAACTGAGCCACCCAAGCATCCTGCTTTCCTCCACTTTCAAATGGGAGTCACAAGACTCAGTCCCTTAAGTATCTGACTTCTGCTCAGGTTATGATCTCATGGTTCGGGCTCTGTGCTGGTGGTGTGGGGCTTACTTAGGGTTCTTGCTCTCTCTCTCTCTCTCTGTGTCACTCTCTCTGCTCCTCCCCAACTTGTGCTTTCTCCGTCTCTCTCTCAGTAAAGAAATAAAGCTTAAAACACAATAAATGGGAGCCACAAGAGCTCCCACTGCATGGAGAGTATGTGAATATTCAGGGAGCAGACAGGTAAGGAGCCCTGCCCCTCACAGATGCTTGATCAACATTAGCTACTATCAGTTCAGAAACACAGACGTGCTCAACCTCAAGTAATTTCCAGAACATTACTTCCCATCTTATCTTCTGTGTTTGGTTTCATTGCTTTTATAACTTCTCAGATAGCAGTCTCCTGGTCTGATAACCCTCTCCTTGTGCCCCTGAAGGACAGCAGGACTCTGACCTGGCTTGGGAGTGAGCTGTACTGAGGAGAGTACCCTTCCCTAAGGAGCAGCCAACAGAGGCTGGGAGACAGACAGACAGCTCAGGTTACGTCCCTGTTGGCATGGGTGGCCTTCCCAGAGGGAACCACCTGAGACCTGGCCCCTTGCCACTCCCCATGGCCACAGCTGGCTCACATTTGACCCCACAATTTGTTCTGTCTTTCCCAAGGCTGAAGCAACACTCTTTCGGACTGGAACGCAGACGCAGGCTGTTGGGAAAACTTGAGATCCCACTGCTGACAACATGACGCAAGGAACGCCAGGTATCAACTCCAGACGATTCCTGGGATTGGGGAGTCCCTGCAGCCTTGTTAACCTACAGACGAATCAGACCCTTGAAGGGGACTGATGAGTGTCCTCGAGCTTTCAAGGGGGACCAAGGGGAGTCTCTATTCCATGGGTCTGTAGGGGCCCCTCCCTGTTGTCCTCTCCTCAGGCTCATGGCTGAGATGCTCACTTCCTCCCTCCCCCTGCCACCTATCAAATGACCCAGAAGTGAGGCCAGGACATCCCACAAAGAGGTGGGGGCAGCAGAAGGGAAAGGAGAGAAGGAAGGAGTCCTGAGGCAGGGCCTGGGTGGGAGGTAGACCAGCTACCTCGGAGGCTTCTCCCACCCTCCTGACCTGTCCCAGCCTCTAGCACAGCTCAGAACAACTGTGGGGTTTTACCGATGGAGGACATTCCCTCCAGTTCTTGCACTGTGACCTGTGGGCCACTAAACTGGACCCCAGTGTGGCTGTGGCCACCTCCCAACTGTGTGAGCCGGGTGACTTACCTACCCTCACCTGTAAAATGAGAGTATTCCCTTATGTTGTTGTGAGGATCAAATATCACATGTGTGGTCTGGGCCAGGGCCTCCTACACAATATGCCTACCTGAGTTTCTTTGCTGTCCCCTCTACATGGACCCTGTTAGCTCCAGGGAGAAACCTTCCCTCCCCCAGCAGCCCCGGGCTGCCATGGCTGTGTTAGGTCACCTGCCTATGTCTCCATATTTGGCATCTTCTTATCAGATATGAAAGCTGGGCAAGGCCTGAGTCAATGTATCTCAATACCCTTCCTAGGCCGGCTCCCAATAAATACACAGCTTAGTGTTGTGGGTTCCGTCCAGCAAAACCCAGTTTCCTCCCTCCCTTAATGAAGCAGGGAAAAGAAAAAAACAAAACAACCTTTTTCTTTTTCTTTTCTATCTAGAGAGCTCAAGCTTTATTGAGGACACCATTGAGTATTTCAGGGACTCCATGAGCCGGGATGAACTGCATCTCCTACTGACTGACCAGAAAGCCTGGGAGAACTTCCTGGCTGAGGCCACCCTGCCCAGGTAACCCCCAGGGATGCCCCAGGGTGGTCCCCCAGATCTCTGCATGGCAGTGTCCTGGAGCTGGGGTTGAGTTTGCTCCTTCTCAACAATTTTTGACCAATGCCTTCCATGACATCTGCTGGCAGGGAGTGGCCTCACCTTGAGAAGAGATGACACCTGCAGAGGGCAGGGGATGTGACCGTGGGCCTTGACCTAAAGCACACCCATCTCTGCCTTGGTTTTTTCCTCTGTTCAGTTTTACTGGTAGGAAACTAAGATCATGTATGTAAAGTGCTTAATACAGTGACTGACACATACTAGGTACTCAATTAATGTTAACTTTTCATTTTTTAACTGTATTTATTTTGAAAGAGAGACAGAGACAGCATGACTGAGGAAGGGGCAGAGAGAGAGAGAGAGAGAGAGAGAGAATCCCAAGCAGGTTCCACATTGTCAGCACAGAGCCTGACTCAGGGCTTGAACTCATGACCCATGAGAGTATGACCTGAGCCAGTCTCAAGAGTTGGACCCTGAGTTACTGAGCCACCCAGGTGCCTCAATGTTAACTTCTTAGAAGATTGCCACAAAGACACAGGGACCAAGGGTATTCTTTCTGGAGATGAGGCACAAGTCAGAAGAACACTGACACACCAGTCTGTGCCACAGGGCATTGGACTAGAGCCTTCCCTCCCCATCTAAGCAGCTGTAGGAATTCTGCAGGTACCTGCTGGTCCACAAAGCAGAGAGGCTGGAGTGGAGTTGGACTAAGCTGGGTTGGATCCAGACCCTATCTCTGTCCAGCCCTGGGTCTCTGGGTGTGTATGTCTCCAAGTCGCAGATTAGTCATTTGTTCAATGGGAACAATAATTCAGCCTGATAAGATTGTGGTGAAGGCCTTAGCATGAACTGCAAGGTCAAAGGTGGGAAGCTGAGGACAATTGTCTTGTCCAAAGGCCAGGAGGCTTGGGCCAGGGTCAGAGATGGGGGCCAGATGGACAAGAGGAGGGTTAGGTTGGAGGACTAGTTAAGCTTGGGTGGCAGGGCTAGGACTGAGTGAAGCACTTGGCACAAAACTCGAGGTCCTGGGAGAGAGAGAGGAAACATTTGTTCCCTCCCTTCTTTGATCTCCTTACCACCAGGTAGGCAGGGCCATGGCAGAGAGGGGACATTGTCTCCTCCATAACTTGCCTGGGAGCTGGGTGGTCCTGACCACCATTTGGAAGCCATTCCTCTTCTTATACATTTTTTTAATGTTTTTTCTTTTTTGAGAGACAGAGAGACAGAGCATGAATGGGGGTGGAGCAGAGAGAGAGGGAGACTCAGGACCCAAAGTTGGCTCCAGTCTCCGAGCTGTCAGCAAAGAACCTGATGTGGGGTTCAAACCAACAACCATGAGATCATGACCTGAGCCAAAGTCGGAAGCTAACCAACTGAATCACGAAGGCATCCCATCCTCTTCTACATAGAGCAACCCCAGACCAGTGGGAGGCAGTGTGGCTCTGTGACAATTTCTGGCACCACAGGAGGTAGCTGCCAATTCTCTATTCTTTGAGGGATTCTGGGGAGATGCACGAGCCCCCACCAAAGAGGAAAGTAGTTCGTCCAGCAGCTTGTCCAAATGCAAGTCTTTTCAGGCTTCGGGATTCATGTTGATGGTTTCAAAGTCTCTTGTCTCTTTAAGCAATTTCCTACAAGTGATAATGGCGTTGGTGTGCACGCATATGAAGCTGTCACCAGCTAAGGTGGACCTTAGGCTGGTGACACCTGAGAAGCTGGGGATGATGGTGCTGGGTCGGGAGTCAGCGATGTGAACTGGACAGTCTGGGGGGAACCAGCGTAGCGGATGTCCTGGTTCTCTGTCCGTTGGGGCAGCGGCTGGGCCACATCAGAGGACATCAAGCTTGGGAGAGAGAGCACTTGCCAGGGAAAATAATCACTAAGGTCCCTTCTCACTTTTTAAAATTCGAAGTATTCAGAGTTGGCCAAGCTGTAAAGTCTGAGCGCACAATACCTAGGACGGCCCTGACTTTTGGCACCAACTACAAATTGGTGGGTGATCCTCAAACCACCCTGAGATTGGGTGATGCCCTGGAAGGGCTCACAGAGCTCACTGAGCTCTCACACTCAGTCACACTGTCTTCCAGGGAAGGATGCAGGTGGCCATCAGCCAAAGAGAGAGACACATGGGGCAGAGTCTGGGAAGGTTTCGAATGCAAAGCTCCTGTCATCCACTGGATGCACTGCTGTCCTGTATTCAGTCTGTGACAATGCACGTGGGACATTGCCCACCAGGGAAGCTCACACTGGGAAAGAAAACAATGACTCTGAGGTTTATTAAAATGGTGAAGAAGACTTAAATCAGAACTATGGTCATAGGAGACAGATCAGGCTCTACTCTGGATATGGTGAAGACAGCTGGAGATTTACACCAAATTGCAGCACGTGGGTGGGTGATGGGAATCCACAAAGAGAAGAGGTGGAGGAATCTTGCTGAAAGTACCCAACAGACTTGTTGCTGAATGCAGGTCAAGAACTTCCACATCGGGGTGCCTGGGTGGCTTAGTCGGTTAAGCGTCTGACCTTCGCTCAGGTCATGATCTCGTGGTTCGTGGATTCGAGCCCCGCATCGGGCTCTGTGCTGACTGCCAGATCGGAGCCTGG